ACATAGTCACTCCCACAAACTTGGTATGGAACTTAAAAGGTTTGAGTAGACCGCCTGTTTTTTGGCAAACAGGGGCACTCAAACCCCTATTCCTACTAGGTAACCTCTTGAGTTAATAGCCAAACATTGGCGAATCAAAAGGATCAGTCGGCCTCCGCCGCTGGTACCTTTACTACTCAAGCAGGAGTGACGGCGATTGAGTAACTCCAAAGTTAACTCATAGTCACTCCCTCAAACTTAGTATGGAGCCTAAAAGGTATGAGTCGTCCGCCTGTTTTTAGCAAACAGGGGCTCTCAACCACTACTCCTGCTAGGTTAACAACTTATGAGTTAAAAGCCAACAAACATTGGTGAATAAAGGGGAACAACCGGTACCCACCGCTTGATACCTCTACTACTCAGTTCATTGGCAACTAGGTAACAATCATGTTTACTTGGTCAGACCACTTTCCTACTTGGTTAAATTTACAAATGACAGGACCGCCTGCCTAAAAAGGATCCAGTCTTTAAAATAGTTCGAATACCGATTGGATAAATGGCCGACTGATCGTCTAGCCTGGAAACAGACAACCAGTCGTCCAGGGGCATAGGTGGCGTGACTAACTATCCGTACCTGTCTGCAACTATTGGCCATGTAAAACAGTCGGTATAGTGAACAATTGGATATCAGAATATTCAATACTTAGACAAATTTGAAGCAAAACAAAACTCATTAAAAAGAAGCCGGTCATTAAAGACCGGCAAAATATTCAGAGCCCCGGCCCCCTGGCCGGGTAAATACAAAAAAAATGGCACGCAGGCCGTGGAAAGAAGACATAAAGCTTAAGAAGGGGGCAGATCTTCAATATTAGCAGCTGCCGCCTGGTCAGCACTCTTCTTGCTGGACTCGGCTTCAGCTGCATCCTTTTTTGATGCATTACCCCCAAGCGGCACAAGCGCCACTACCGGCTCCTCCTCCTCCAACGCTTCCTCCAACGCCTCTTCCTCAGCAGCCGCCAGGATCTCTTGATTATATGTATCAGAACACTGGCGGTACGTTTTTTCCCATGAGGCAAAGTCGGCATTGGGGAAGAGGCGGCCCCAAGTCATGCGCTGGATTTGAGCAGAGTCTTCCATCATCTCCCGGATCAGCTCTTTCTTCTCTTGCTCGGCCTTTTCCGAGAGCTCCTGAGTAAGACTCTTCTCCTGGGTCACCAGGCGTTCCTTTACGTTGGCCAAGGATTTCTCCAAGGCTTCGTATGAGTACATCTTTAGGCGAAGAGGTTTCAGCTCGGCCTTGAGATTGGTGATGGTCGCCTCCAGCTCGCCATTCCTCTTCTAGGTCGCCTCTAACTGAGACCGAATAGCGGCGGTAGCCTGCGCCTGATAATAAAGAATATCAATGGTCAGAACTTCATTTTGGGCAATTTGAAACATTGCCTTATCACAGTTGGAGGCGGCCATAGCTTTTGCAGCCTTTACCTCTTTATTCTTCCGGTCAAGCGGCTTGCGAAGGCCGTTCACTCGGAGCAGGGCCTAAGTAAAAAGGGGAACAGGCGTCAGTTTCCAAAAAAAAAAAGAAAACATGCGTCCTGGAATTCAAATACTCAAAAATATGCTAAGTATACCTCAGCAAGGACCCCTGCAATCCCGTCTAGGTCAAGGGTGCCGACACCCCTGACCGCCTCCCTTTCAGCTGGAGGAACGACCTTGATCATAGACTTGGACACCTCTACCAAGTCAGGCTCCTGAGGGCCGGCTGCAGCATAAACAAACGGATTAGACCTAGTAAAAAAGGGGAGCAAGTCTAAAAATTTACAAGAACAACTTCATACTTCTAGGCGGCCCAGCTGGAGTTTTAGAAGAAGTGGCCGGCTGTTTCTCAGCCGCCGCATGTTTCCTGGCAGAACCAGGAGAGCTCGCAACAGTCGTCCTCCGGGCCTTGGGGTCCGGCTGTTGAGAAGAAGAAGCTCTTGGAGCACCCGTCTAAAAAAGAAGAAAAAAGTCAGTATATGCATAAACACAACTCCAAAAAAAGGGTGAAAGGTTCGAAGCCCACCAAGGGTGCCCCCTTCTTGGGGGAGTCGGTTGAAGCTTGTTGCATGATGGAGGCCCGCAACATGGCCGCCGCAGTCTTGGAGGCGGTAATTTTGCTCATGGCGTCCGCTGCAAAAACAATTAGCAAAGTTAATACAAGTCATAACAAGAAATGCATGAAACAACAGAGTATTCGACAGGCCGGCTACCTCTTGAGCACCGACTGCTGAGGCCACAGGCGGCCAAAAAGTACTCGTCGTAGAGCCATTTGAAGCTCGGGACGCAGTGCAGGGGTACTTGCTCTCGTACCCCTGAAGTAGAGTTCACCTTCGACTCTACTTTGAAGAGTCCTTTATCTAGGATCTCTTTCTTAGCCTTGGGGGGAACAGGCGGCATGCTGCGGCCGCCTGCAAGAAGGGGCGGATTCCTGTTCCACCTGTTGAGGCGCTTGTTCAGCTCTGTGTCTGAACTCTCAATGATGAGGAAGGTGCTCCGCCAGTCCTTCCATTTGTTTGCTTTACCTCTCGTCATGAGGTAGCCCCTGTGGCTCGTCAATTGATACCAGCCGGTACCGCCTGCCTTAGGGGTCCGGCTGAGATAGTTCATGTGGGCGAAAGCCTCGAAGTCCGGCCCCGAGGTACCGTGCAGTAGTATGGGGTATTTTGCTCTCGGTAAGAGGCGGATGGCTCCGCTCAATTGTCCCCCTTCTCAACTGCGTGAGAAAGTCTCGCCTCTTGCAGGCGACTGTTTTTCTCTTCTGTGTCCAGAGAAGCATGGCCAGAAGAGCTAGACTCGGAATCGTCCTCTGACGAGTCCGAAGAGGACGACTCCTCCCCTCTCCCGGAGGGGCCCGCCTCCTCTCCTTTAAAAGGAGCGGGAGAGAATGAAGAATTGTCAACTGTGAAATGGGAAGGGGTCACTTTGATTCCTCCCTCAGAACAGCCGGCTTTCAAGCCGCTTTGTTTCACTTCCACATCTGGCGCCTGGTCAGATGTTTCACTAATCGGCACCCTGTGGGAGGAGCCGTCTGAATTTGAGATCCTAGCAGTCTTTTTTGTTCTGGCCATCATGCTCTGCATAGACACAGATACAGTCGGACTTTGTATAAAGGGCAAAGATGGGTCCGGAAAAGGGCAGGCGGCACTCCTAGTCCTAGATTCAGCCGTCCCCGGTGACCGGCTGATCACTAACCTAGGTCGTGTCGTGTGCTTCCGTGGTGCCATTTCAAAAAAGAATAAAAAGAAAATTAAGAGTAAGAGAACCGACAGTTACCTGAACGAGTGACGGTTGTTGAAGTTCTGAAAATCCTTTGCAGTCGGCTTGTCAGAACAGGCGGTAGGCAGAAAGGGTCCAAAATGTCAGAGCAAGTTCAGGGGTCCGAATGTTCTCAAAAAGTTCTCAAGTGTGAAAATGACTGAAGTCAACACTCCCTTATATAGGCGAAGTGAGAAGGCGAAGGGTCACTTTCAGAATTCAAAATTTGGGCGGGAAAATCTCTCGGCCTTTCGCCGACTGACACCTGTAGCAGGCCGTCGCCTGTTACAGTGCGACACCTGTCACAGGTAACACGTGACTAGTCACGTGCCACCTGTGAGGGGCAAATGATTAGGGGATTTTGCTCCCACCAATCGGAATGCGCCACGTGGGCCAATCAGGTCCTGCCAAGTGTCCCTCAGTTGGAACTGTCAGGGCTTGCCACGTGGCACACGCTTATTCGTCCACCTTGGACCTATTATGTCATGACACGTGACATACTCCATGCCTAATGGAGAAACCGGCCACCCAGGCCCAACTTCCGAGGGAAGCCCAATCAGCCCTAGGTTAACCTAAACCTAGGATTGGCACGTTTCCCAAGGTTATAAATACCTCCCTTAATCCTCATTAAGGGGGATTACACATTGATTACACACACGAATAACAGGCTGATCACGCTAACAAAGCAGATTACCTACATTAAACACTCTCACCTAGAGAGACCCAATCACTTTAATTTCCGCATTAATTACTCCTTAATCAAGTACTAACTTGACCGTTGGAGGCGGAGCTCCCACCACCAGGAGTCTCCGTTGTTTTGCAGGTACAGGCGTCCGGTTCCAGTCTCGGAATTGTAACTCTCCCGCAGGACATCAGAAAACCCCGAAACAGATTGCAATAGGATGAAATTGGGACATGTGTGAGAGAGATTTTGCCTTCAGAATGAGAGCAATAATATTGATTGGTCATGTTTAGGGGTTTTTTTGAGTCTCCTGGAGATTACCAAAGCAATGTCACAACTCGTGCAAACAACTCACATGCAAAAACAATGAATGTTGCAATCAAAGGAATATTCACTTCTGACGTTTAAGTTAGACGTTGGAAATTTAAATGTAGAGAGAGAAAGTAGAGAAAATTAAAGCATTTGGGCGTTTTGCCTTAAATTATACGATGAATATATTGCCCAATGAGTATATGATGGGGTTATTTATACTCTTCTAAGATGGCGCGCTCATAGGATTTATTAGCTAAAAAACATATTCTGATTGACCTCCTATTACGTGAATGATAAGATTCCAAATGAGAAACATGGAAGAAGTATCAAATAAAAAAAAATTGTCAGTTAAAAATTTAAAATGTAAAGTATAGGTAGTGGAAATTTTATAATTATATGAAGGAGAGTTTGTGAGAATATGTTTAATTGTTAGTATAATAGAGAGATAATTAAAAAAAAAAAAATAGTGTAAGGTCCTATTTACTACTCATTAAAAAAATAATAGTAAAATTAATTTCAATTCAGTAAAAATAATTAAGTTTAGCAAAATTAATTTAAATTTAGCAAAATTAATTTAAGTTTTGTATAGATTAGTAACTTTAAAGAAGAATTATTAATTAGTAAAATAAGTTCAGTTCAGCAAAATTTATTTTAGTTTAATTTATAAATTTCAATATAATAAAAATGGGACACTTAAATAAAAACCAAAAAAGCAATTTCAATTAAGCAAAAATAAAATAAAGTAAACCAGGCCTAAATAAAGTTAGTAGAAGAGAGATTTAATATTAAAGTAGTAATGAATCTTACCAAACGAAATAAAAAAGTGTTACCATCATCCTAAAACATATTTAATATAAAAATATTGCAATTATTATGAAAGGGGGATAATAGCTACTCTCCGATGGAGGGCGCACACCTTCCCCTTATATTGGATGCCAATAGTGAGCCCCACTCTTGTATTTATCGAACTTCATTCTCATCAAAATCCAGTTTACAACATACATATGAACATTTTACATAAGAAATCACAATACGTGACGTCAAGCAAATTTCTCCGATCTCCACCTCGCCTCAGCCCAGGATAGTATAAAATCCGATTTCGAAATTAAGCTTCCCACATAATATATTTGTGATCCAACACCAACAGGGCCAACTTCATTCCTATACAACATTCAATCACCCTCGTTCTAAGTTTCACGCCTGCGTTCTCCCCAGACCATCATCATTATTTTTTACTCCCATTTAAATATAATACAACCACCATCAAAATCCTCTTCTTCAACTTCTTCTATCTTATTCTTCTATATATATTTACTTTATATTATTCATACTCTTTACTTCTACTCTTCCCCTCCTCAATTCCTCATTCTTTCTCTGCATTCCTTAAACTCCTCCTTTCTCTCTCCTCTCTCTCATTTCTTCTGTGTGTGTTTCATTTTCCAGCTAATCCACCTATATTACCGTACTAAATACAAATAAAAACAAACTCAACCAAAAACAAACAAAAAAACCCATTTTTTTCTCTCTTACTTGCTTACTTTCTCTCTCTACAGTTCATTTTCTCTTCCTATGAGACTTCCCTTCCGATCAATACTGTGCAATCATTACAAACACACTTCATTCCTCTCCCTTTTCAACCCCATTCAACTCAAACACCACCAGCCGCCACCACCAACAACAACAATACAAATGAACACCTTCTCTTCCGCCGCCTACGCCCGCCTTAGACGGCGGCGAGTAAAGGAAAAAGACCAAAAACTCGTCATCGTAATGGGTCCCACTGGTTCAGGAAAATCAGGTCTTTCAATTGAACTCGGAACTTATTTCCCTTCTGAAATCATCAACTCAGATAAAATCCAACTATACAAAGGCCTCGACATTACAACCAACAAAATCCCAGTTATAGAACGACTTAACATCCCTCATTACTTACTAGATGAAATCGACCCGAAAAAACAACCCGAGTTAACCCCATTACAATACCGACTTCGCGCTTCTTCCGTCATTTCCGGAATCAGTTCTCGCCGAAAACTCCCATTATTAGTGGGCGGGTCAAACTCGTTAATTTACGCTCTTTTATCCGACCGGTTTAATCCGGATTTGGACCCGTTTTCAGGGTCAGACCCGGTTTGCTCGGAGTTACGATACAAATGCTGCTTCCTTTGGATTGATGTTTCATTACCAGTATTAAACGAGTATTTAATCAAACGAGTTGATGATATGCTTGACTCGGGCATGGTTAGCGAGTTAGCCAAGTTTTACGAGTCAGAAGTTGATGAGTTGGCGCCTAACACAGGGCTAACAAAGGCAATTGGTGTACCAGAATTTGAACGGTACTTCAGGTGTGCTAGTGCTAATGCTCACCAGAGAGATGATCAGGTGCTGAGAGGTGTATATGATGAAGCAGTGAAGAATATCAAGGACAACACGTGTCAACTTGCGAAAATACAGATGGAGAAAATCCAACGGTTGAGAAATGCTGGCTGGGGTCTACATAGAATCGACGGTACTGATACGTTTAGAGCGGTTTTGGATGGGAGTAAGAATTGGAGTGATATTTGGGAGAAACAAGTAGTGAATCCAAGCATTAAAATTGTGAACAACTTCTTAGAGGAGTGAGTAGGTTTATATTTACAGCTTTTTTCCTCTTTTTTTTTTATTTTTTATTTTTTTTTTTTTTTTTTGCCTGAATATTAACTACTACCATGTATATATGGTGGGGAAAGGATTTTTTTTTTAGGATGCTAGTCTAATTTTAAAAAAATTTTGGCCTTGGTTTTTCATAAATTCAAAACACAGTAGAAAAAAAAGGTAGGAAATTTTGAAATATATGATGGTTTCCTTACTTTCTCTGTAATGTACTTGGCGTGGATTGGTAGTGTTGTTACAGTGGTGCGTCATATGACTTGAAGTTGAATCTCGTCTACATGATAACAAATTTTTTATCGGTACCTAACAAATTATAAGAAAATCTTTTACTTGGTGGACATATTTTTGTTTTTTGTATTTTGTTTATTTTTTAACTTTTCATCAGTTTGATTTGTTAATATCCCACCATGTAGATGATGATCTAAACCTTTGTATCTTTGCCTTTACCTTCATTTGAGTTTTGGCAGCAATTTGTACATTGTGAGACGATTAACCAACAGTTTTTTAACATCTTCTAGTGTTACATGATTATTCTCATCTTTTATTTTAATACATTGGATAAGCATAACATATTAATATGTTCCTAGTGTATTAGTTTTGGTTTGGAGTTTCTCTTTGATGTGCTACTTCATGTATACCCTTTAAAATATACAACTACATACCAATATATACCAACTTACTACTAATAATTTACTATAATTAACATTAATTAAAAAATAGTTTTTTTGCTTTCAATTAAAAAGTAGTTTGAGAAAAGGACATATAAACTATACTATATAAAGCCTGTTGTTGGAATTTATATCTTAAACCTAGCTAGCTATAAGCCTAAACCATGACTAATATTCTTCAAAATGGTGAGTGTGATATTTTAGGGAGTTAGCTAGGGTTGAAGATACATTTAAGCATAAAAAGTTCAATCAAAACAAATGTTTCACTTTCCCTAATTCTTCCCCCCAATATGCATGGAATTGGAATTGTATGTTTACTTTCTAGGAGAGTAGGGGAAGGCTTGCATCCTAAAAAATGGTCCTTCTCCAATTATATAGACACTTGTTTATTTATGTTGTCATAAATAATGTGTGCAGTTTCCTTTTTGAGCAAACTTTCTTAAACTTTTGCTCTCAACCTTATTCTCTCTTGTACATTTTCTTTCCCCATGCATTCTTTGTTTCGAGACAAGTATGCTAAGTAATACGAGACATAAAACACATAACCAACCATGAATTGAAACTCTAATTAGTATAACTGGTATAAGGAGGTTCAAACAACTAAAATTCTTAAACTATCCTTTCTGTTTTTTTCTTGTCATATACGACAAAACTTTTGGAGATCTTGCGTCAAGATATTACTAATAATAACAAATTAATTGAGAACCAACATTTTTGCATACAAATTTGACGTGACAATACATACATATAGATTCATCTGTTGGTAGCGTACATCTAAAGTTATAAGTAATTACATTAAGCCAAATACATCTCAATTGTACTCTTCTCAACACAATACTTTAGGTCTAAATCAACGTTGGCATCTTAGATAGAAGAATAAATACTCCAATTTTTTTTTCCAGCCTGGTGATAGCAAAATGAAGAATAAACTTTTATCCCACATTATGCATCAATTTTTTTCACACCCCTTAGAAAATGAGGAAAGTTAGCGGGCCTATGCGATTTGTGCTATTACAAAATGAAAATTCTCCTAGTACAATTTGGTACCACAAAATAATTTTTTAGTACAAGAAGGATCATAAAATAAGATATGTCATCAAATTGAAGGGTATATATGTTAGAACATAGAAGGAGCACGTAGGAGGGAGGACAAAATTTATTTAGATCTTTGTAACTTTTCTATTTTCGTACAAATCGGAAAAGACTTGTAAAGTTAAATTCATGCAAGGGTGATTAAAAAATATAGAGAAATTGACCTGATATCATAATCGGATTGAAGAGAACCATTTCAGTCTCTGGAAAAGTCTCCAGTCTATTTCAGTTTCAGAGTTGTTTTCAATAACTTATTTCATATTTCTGTTCATATTAGAATTAATTAACTCATATAAGATCAGATAGATTTGTTAGACAATGACAAGAAAAATTAGACTAGATCAGAAAAATTCAAACCACACCAGGCCTTAAAATATTCAAACCAAATTACCTTATTTCAGATGAAGAGAACACGTCCTTAGTCTCCTGTATAAATTGGTTTTGATTCAGTTTGATTATTAGTTTAAAATAATGTATAACTTCTAAGATAAAGTGATTTTCTCCTTTATTACTTTATGAAGATTTTTACTCCTCAAAAAAAAAAAAAAAAAAGTTTGTGAAATATTTTACATTGTGAGCTATCTAGTAAATGTACAATTAATTTTATTTTCATTGTATTTAAAATACTATTTTTTTAAAAAAAATTGAATGTAGAATTAGCCTAAAATTTGCCGAAACTGGTCTTGATCCAGGTTTTTGACTAGTTTTATCGATCTAGTGTAGTTTGGTTTCAGTCATTATTGTATAATTGATCCAGTCTCTAAATCTTTTATTTGTAAAATTTTGGTATGTTCATAGGTTCGGGGTTGGACCGGTGACCAATTGCAAATTCCGTATCAGTTTGTATGCCAAAAAAAAAACCCCCTCTAATTGCATACTCCATCTAAGGTTTTATTTTTTATTTTTTATTTTTTTTATTTTTTTTTGACAATCATCTAAGGTCTTGTTCTTTTCATCTTATTATGTTTTAAAACTACTTTTTAACACGTATGTTGAGAAAATATGGTAGTACAAAATTGTAAGTGAAAATATGTATATATAGTGAGGTAATGAAAACTAAATTTATAACCATTTACTAACGGTAGAACAAAAATCGGGCAAAATTAAAAAATGTCTCTACTAAATAGGAATTGAGCATAAAAATAAATAAATAAATAAATCCAAAGAGTAAATATTTGTCAATTTTGAGAAAGAATTTATGAATTTGGGATGTTTTTGGAAAAGAGATTCTTGTTATTGAGAATCTAGAGAACAAATGCTTCACATGTATTTTTTTTATTAAAATTTCTTTCTTTTGCAAATTGAAAATATAAAAATTATAGTATGGGCTAATTACAACATTAAGATTCTAAAGTGTAGCTATTAGTAGTAATTGAGGTGACAATGCATGAATGCAGTAGTTTCACTTGTTTAGTAGGCCTAGTCAAGGAACTCCATTTATTTTTTGGGCACATACTACGGAAAAAAATAATTATCATGATAGTATATTCTTTAAAAAAATTTAAGTTCAAGAAATTCATCTTTTGAAAACTAAAAAGAGATATAATGGAGCATAGTAAGATGCTTAAGAGATGCTTATATTACTTTAATATGTTGTTTTCAACAATTAAGCTAAGTTAGCTTTCGGTATTAATTAATTTTACTAATACTATGCTACCAAGAGAAAGGTGCAATTTGGCATTGAGTAGTTAGTTGAAACTGATTAAAATAAACTTAATTGACCTCTTGATCTGTTAGATGATTAATTATATCAATTGTTGTAATATAAGTTCATTACTATTTTCATAGTGTAAAAGTTGGGTAGAAATGTCGTTTAAATATGAATTAAAAAATTTAAGATTCAAATTTGAGTTTATTGCAAAAGTGTTTCCAATAACCCCTTTGCCGAATATTTGTAAAGGAGCTTTGTAGGGTTATAAAATAAAGTACTTTCTTTGTTCCATTAGTACTATTTATCTTCTTACTAATTTTATTCACCTATTTATTTGATTATTAATATTTTCAAATGCTAAAAAAGAGTTAAATTTAAAATTTACACGCTGAGAAAAATCTAATAAAATCTCATATAGATGTCTTTTTCTTAAAGCTTGGAAAATGTTATACATAGCTCTTAGAGCTACATATAAGCATTAAATACACACTAAAAAATCGTGTAAAGTTAGGAAATCATAAAAATATAAACACTAATTACACTAATTTACGCGTGTTTTTGTCATGAATTCCTAATTTTATACAATTTTCAAGAGTGTATTTAATGCTTATATATAACCCTTAGAGCTACATATAACATTATCCTTAAAGCTTTTATTATATTAAATTAATATTTCAATTAAAATAATCAAAACATAAAAGGAGGGAGTAACTAAGATTCACCACATCTCTAACATAGATTGTTCATTAAACACTTTGCCATCCATGGATATATATATCTTCCTTTACTTTGAATGAACATTATTCAGCGACTTAACAACTTAATTAAGTGTATGTTAGGGGGTTCAAGCTAAGTCTTGATTTTATTTTCACTTTCGTGATCTCAAATTTATTATTTACCATTAAGGAACTGACAAATTTTTTTTTTCCTCCATTGAGAACATTTAGAGGGGGACCTTTCACTGGGGCCATTCGGGGCCAGACCCTCCGTAAATTAAATTATTGTAATTAATTAGTTAACGAAATTAAATAACCTTTATTTACTTATAAAATATTGTGACGCAGTGATTAGTTTTGAGCAAGTGGTAAAATATTTAAATCCTGAACCCTTTAATATTTTCGGCCAAGATCCGCCACTAAGAACATCACTCTACTATACCATTTAATTACAAATAACAATTTAAGTATAGTGATTAGACCTTATATATAAAATGGTAAGGATATTGATAGAATACAAAATATATTCCTGGGCCTCAACTATTAGGTTAAGCTTTTGGTTTAGTTGGTCCTTTAACATGGTATCAAGACCTTTGTGTCACGGGTTCGAATCTCACCCACTTCTCCTTTCAAAGAACCATCCCAATAAAAAACTTAAGCTGATGGTTGAGATTCAGGATTATGTTTTATACTCTATCATATATATATATATATGCAACTAATATGCTTTAATATTAACCTACTTTAGGTGTACTATAATACTCTTAGGATTTTATACATCATTTATTTATTTATTATTTTTTTTTATATAAGAAGGTATATAAGTGTAACCCAAAAAATGAAAAAAAAAGAAGGTATATGTACTCCATGGTTTTTAGCATCTAATTCAGCTTCTTTTCCTAGCTCTGATTACACCACCTCATTGGCCTCGAACTTCTGCCAGCAACGACAACTTGAGGCTTGAGAGCGACGAAAAGAGACGAAATGTCCTTGGCAACCCAACATTCTTTATAAAATACAAACTACATCAATCAAATAAGCATAATTCTAGCTATCATCTCTTACATGCAAATATTCTTCACATATTGCTTATGCAATGTCTGTGTTGTTACAAGTTAGATTTTAGTCTTGAAAGAAAATTATCCTTAATTCTTATATATATAATGCTTCTAAAAAAATGTTTGTGGGTGTTTGTTATAATACTGTATAAATAAAAGGGAAATTTCTAAAATGGAGTTTATTGTCAAAAAAAAAAAAAAAAAAAAGAGTTGATGTATACGTATTTTTATTTACTAATTAATATGGCATGTTTGTAATTATTATGAATTTGAACATAATTTCTTTGACTTTATATATGCTTGCCAATATGCCTATATTTGATTTTTTTCCCCCTAATTGATAATTATTCAATTCTAGCAAATTTTTTGGCTTTTTTGGTAAAAGAAAATTAAAAAAATCTTAGATTTTTTTAAGGGTGTCATTTGTATTTTTGTCTTGATTGAGAACAAATGATTATTAATGGTTT